CCATTAGCAGTGTATGTGAATGTTAATCCAGTGAGGTTTTACTGATGGATCCTATGCTGTCTGAAGTCAGTCAGTGGTCAACACTGCGCACTGTTATCAGTTATACAGCTGCAAACAGCTAAAACCAGAACAATTCCAACCATTCTTTAACAGTTTGAAACATGCCCTGTAAATATTTTCTGGCTTCATGTCACCACATATTTGGTCAGAAAATACCAAACAAGGACATGACCATGACTGGGTGATAGTGTCTCCTGCCTTCATTCCCTGGTCCATCAGAATAGACTTTTGGACAGATTCCAATCCCATACGTATGTCTCGACCTTGCTGAGGAACTGTTCAAATTGTGACATGAAACATAAAGGTGCTTGTAATTCCAAAGGAATTAGCTAATCTCTGCATGAGGAGTTAATGGACCATCGAAAAACATATTGACATTAGAAACAGCAGCAGAAATAGACCATTCAGCCCATCAAGCCTGCTCTGCTATTCAAAAAGATCATGAAATCATACAATGTTTTGGTTTAAAAAAGGAGATAAATATAGCACTTGGGGCTGAAGGAATCAAAGGATATGGGGAGAAAGGGGGAACAGGATACTGAGTTGAATAGAAACGTAGAAAAATAGAAGATAGGAGCAGGAAGGGGCCATTCGGCCCTTAAAGCCTGTCCTGCCATTCATCACGATCATGGCTGATTGTCCAACTCAATAGCCTAATCCTGCTTTCTCCCTGTAACCTTTAATCCCATCTAGTCACCTCTTGGCATCAACTACTTCCTGTGGTAATGAATACCACAGGCTCACCACTCTTTCAGTGAAGAAATGTCTCCTCATCTCCATCCTAAATGGTCTACCCCGAATCCTCAGACTGTGACCCTGGTTCTGGACACACCCACCTTTGGGAACATCTTCCCTGCATCTACCCTGTCCAGTCTGTTAGAATTTTATAAGTCTCTCTGAGATCCCCCTCATTCGCCTGAACTTAGCGAAAACAATCCCAACCTAGTCAAGCTCTCCTCATACATCAGACCCACCATCCCCGGAATCAGCCTGGTAAACCTTTACTGCACTCCCTCGAGAGCCAAGACCATCCTTCCTCAGAAAAGGAGACCAAAACTGCACATAATATTCCAGGCGTGGTCTCACCAAGGCCCTGTATAACTGCAACAACACATCCCTACTCCTGTACTCCAAACCTCTCACAGTGAAGGCCAACATACCATTTACCTTCTTTACCGCCTGCTGTACTTGCATGCACAAGGACACCCAGGTCCCACTGCACACTCCCCTCTCCCAATTTACAGCCATTCAGGTAGTAACGTGCCTTCTTGTTTCTGCTTCCAAAGTGAATAACCTCATGTTTATCCAAATTATACTACATCTGCCATTGATTTGCTCATCACCCAATCTGTCGAGATCATGCTGAAGGATTTCTGCATCCTCGTCACAGTTCACCCTCCCACCCATCTTGGCATCATCTGCAAACGTGGAGATGTTACATTTTGTTTCCTCATCCAAATCATTAATATATATTGTGAATAGCTGGGGTCCCAGCGCCTATCCCTGTGGCACCCCACTTGTTACTGCCTGCCAATTTGAAAAGGACTCATCAATTCCTGCTCTTTGTTTCCTCTCTACCAACCAGTTTCCTATCCATCTCAATACACTTCCCCCAAAGCCATGTGCTTTAATCTTGCACAATATTGTCTTTTGTCAAACACTTTCTAAAAGCCCAAATACACTACATCGACTGGCTTTCCCTTGTCAACTCTACTAGTTACATCCTCATGGAATTCCAACAGATTTGTCAAGCATGGTTTCCCCTTCATAAATCCATGCTTGACTCTGTTTGATCCTGTCACTGCTTTCTCAAAGCTCCACTATAAAGTCCTTGATAATGGATTAGAGATTTTTCCCCACTACAGACATCAGGGCACTGGTCTATAATTCCCTGTTTTCTCTCTACCTCTCTCTTTGAGCATTCGAATGACATTAGCCACCCACCAATCTGCAGGGACTGCTCCAGAGTCTATACAATCCTGGAAGATGACATCCACTGTTCCTAGAGCCACTTCCTTAAGTACTCTGGCCCTGGGAATTTGTCGACTTTCAATCCCATCAATTTTCCCAGCACCATTTCTCTACTAATATTGATCTCCTTCAATTCTTCTGCCTCACTAAATCTTGCATTCTCCAACATTTCTGGTATCTGATTTGCATCCTCTTTTGTGAAGACAGAACCAATGTATGTACTGAGCTGCTCAGCAATTTCTTTGTACTTACTATACATTTTCCGTTTCTGTCTGTAGGGGACCTACATTTCTCTTCACCAACTTCTTTCTCTTCACGTACCTATAGAAACTGTTAGTGTCAGTCTTTATGTTCTCTGCAGGTTTACTTTCCTACAGTATTTTCCCCTTCTTAATCAAGCCCTTGGTCCTCCTTTGCTGAATTCTAAATTACTCCCAATTTTCAACATATTATTTTTCTTGGCCAAACTGTATGCGTCTTCCTTGGATCAGATACTCTCTGTAATTTCCTTTGTGAACCATGGACTGGCCCTCTTACCCATTTTGCTTTTGTGCCAGACAGGAATAAACAGTTGTTGCAGATCCCCCATGCATTCCTTGAATGTTTGCCATTGCTTATCCACTGTCATTCTTCAAAGCAACTCTCCCCAATCTATCAAGTCCAACTCATACTCCATATCTTCATAATTTCTTTTATTAAGATTCAGCACCCTAGTCTCTGAATCAACTGCCTCACTCTTCAACATGATAAAAAATTCTATCATGTTACGGTCACTCCTCCCCAAGCGGTCTCGCATAGCTAGATTGACAATGATTCCCTCCTCATTTCACAGCACCCAGTCTAAGATGGCCTGCTCTCTAGTTGGTTCCTCCATATATTGGTCAAGAAAACCATCCTGTACACACTCCAGGAATTCCTCCTCTACGGCATTATGGCTAATTTGATTTGCCCAATCTATGTGCAGGTTAAAATCACCAATGATCACCGATTTTCCCCTTTCACATGCATCTCTAAGTTCCTGTTTACCACCAGTCCCAACATCACCGCTGCAGTTTGGGGGTCTATATAGCATGTGGCGTTGGTAGTAATCCTGAGATCACTACCTTTGAGGTCCAATTTCTTAACTTTCTTCCTAGCTCTCTCAATTCTGCTTTTAGGACCTCATCCCTTTTGCTTAACCTATGTCATTTGTACTGATGTGTACCATGACTACTGTCTGTTCACCTTCCGCTTCCAGAATGTCCTGTACCTGCTCCAAGGCATCCTTGACCCTGGCACCAGGGAGGCAACCTACCACCTTGGAGTTTCATTTGCGGCCACAGAAACACCTGTCTATTCCCTGTACAGTTGAGTCCCCTATAACTATTGCCCTGGCACACCTTTTACTCCTCCCCTCTACTGCAGAACCAACCATGGTGCAACCAGTTTGGCTGCTGCTACTTTCTCCTGAGAGGTCATTTCCCTCAACAATATCCAAAACGGTATATTTGTTTTGCAGAGGAATGGCCACAGGAGATTCCTGCACTACCTGTGTATCTCTCTTACTCTGTCTGGTGGTCATCCATTCCCTTCCTGCCTGCAGAGTCTGAGCCTGTGGTATGAGCACCTCCCTATACTTGCTATCCACGATACTCTCTGCCCCGCGGTTGCTCCAAAGTGTCCCCAGCCGCCGCTCCAGCTCTGAAGCCCGAGCTTCCAGGAGCTGTAGCTGCAGACACTTCCAGCACACATACTGACCCGGGGGAGTGGGGGGTGGCGGGGTAGATCTGGAGCTGTCCCCAGCCTCCCACATGGAGCCAGAGGAGCAAACCAACACATTGAGCTCTCCTGCCCTGGTTTACCTCTTTATATCATACCTTGGAGAGTACTTTGCACCAGATTAAATCAAATCCAGTTATCTGTGGCCCTTCTTTCCTGGTCCGTGTGCTATCCTAACAGATTAGAAGCCAAAAAGAGTACTATAAACGATAGAAGTTGTGAGGACTTACCTGCCTTTATGGTTACTCGCCAACCAGCTCTCTTCCTTGTAGTCACCTGCAGTAGGGCAGGACCACTCACTTTCCCTCACAGTGAGCTTTCTTTTGGTTAAAGGAGGAAGGGGAGAGAGGGAAAGACTGAAGTAGTTTGGAGACAGTAAGAACTGCCAATGCTGGAGTCAGAGTCACAGTGTGGAGCTGGAGGAACACAGCAGGTCAGACAGCATCAGAGGAGCAGGAAAGTCAACATTTCCAGTCAGGACCCTTCTCCAGAACTGAAGTAGCGTTGGGATTTGGTGATGAAGGATCTAGGCCCAAAACATCAGCCTTTCTACTCCTATGATGCTGCTTAGCCTGCTGTGTTCATCCAGCTCTGCACCATAGTGTTGGGATTTAACTGTCCCTTGACAACACTCCCTCCACAAACCACTGCTTGGTAATGGTGACTTCACCAATGCAAATCATCATTCCAACCACCAATCAGCATCATCACAACCCTCTGCTGGACATCTGTCTTCATTTGAACTCAGAGGGTGTCTTGCTGAGGTCCTCCTTCTCGTACTGGTGACTGTGCTGATGCAAATCTTTACCCTGACCGCCAATCAGCATCATCGCCGTCCACTGCTGTGGATGATCAGCCATGATCATATCAAATAGCAGAGGAGGCTCAAAGGGCTGAATGGTCTGTTCCGGCTACTACTGCTTTCTTGGGAAGTGAATTCCAAAGTGAACCTGTTGGAGAAATTATTCAATGACTCCTCACAAACCCTTCATCCAGGAATCAGCCAAGTGAACATTGTCTGAACATCTTCGATTGCAAGTCAATCACTCCTTGAATAAGGAAAACAAACTGTACACAATACTCCAGCTGTAGCCCCACTACAGTCTTCTACAATTGCAACAAGAGTCATGACATGTATCATAATATTGGATCACCCACCAACATATCAAACTATTAAATAAAACTTTTTTTTTAGGGAGGAGTCATGCTGCCAGAATGACTGTGGATGTAAATCCAGAAGCAGGCTGGGGAGAGGGAGTCTGGAATGTCATACCTGCTGAGATGTCAAGGAAGCCTCAACTGGACAGACTAAGACTGTGAATGTGATTGGAGAAAAGCTAGCAGTCTTGGTGAGAGACAGACTTTGTGTCTTCCCCTTACAAGGATACACAAGAACAGGGGTCACAAGCCGATTCAATCCTGGTCTGCGCATACTAGTGGAAGAAGGTATGCTAGCAAGCTGAGGTGTAGGCCAGTCGGCTGAGATACTGCGGTGCATTTAGTCGAGCGCTGACGTGTTGTAAAGATCAAAGGCGAAGAACCACCCAAATGTCACCTCTGTGCTGCAGGTAAAAACACTCTTTCATTCTGGGTACTCCAAACCAGCCAGCAGGCCAATCAAAAGGATCCACGACAAACAGATTTCATCTAACTGCTGTGGCAAGAATCCCAGAATTATTGTTCCCCTGTTAACTTTCTACTCTTCATGCTTCACGAATACCCCATAGAGACTAAACCGTGTTGGGGAAGCGATGGCCTAGAGGCAACATTACTACACTAGAAATCTAGATCCCAAGGCTTTTAGGGAGGTAGGCTTGAATCCCACCATGCTAGATGGTGAAATTTGAATTCAATCAAAATTTGGAAACAAAATCTAGCCTAATGGCAATAAGGAACCACGGTCAGTTGTCATAAAATCCCATCTGGTTCACTAATGCCTTTCCGGGAAAAGGAAATCAACTATTCTTACTGGATCTGACCTACATGAGACTTCTGATCCACAGCAATGAATCTGAATTAGAATTAGAAATGGACAATGAAATGCTGGCCTACCCATGATTCGCACATCTTGTGAACAAATTATAAAAAATGTATCTTTCAATCCTCTTTGGATTCACTCCTTACTCCTAATTTGTGTTGCGTTATTTTATTTTTGTAGTTAGTAACTAATAAACTGACTCTTTTTTTGAACTCAAGAGAGCTTTTGGTTAAATTGGTTCCTTACAAAATATAAATTCAATTGGTCTAGGAGAAAGTAATCCACAAGGGAAAGGATCCTATTTTAATGATCCTGGTGGAGGGTGATCAAGGTGGGGACCGGGGTTGGGTGGTGGAGTGGGCATACAGGTGAATAAGGAATGTGAGCATTCACCCCAACTCAGCTGGGAACTTGATATTTTAGGGTAACCCATCTGGAACTGTGATATCTTGGGGGAACATCACCTGGGGTCTGGCTGCAAAAGAAAGACTTTTCTCCCCTTATACTGCAGTCTCCTTGCAATAAAGGCCAACTCTGTGACTAGTAAGAAACACTGACTCACCCTCTCTTTCAGTTCAGTGGTAGGAGAGTCTGTACCACTATAATCATGATGCAAGGCGTGGTCAACTCCACATTAGGGTGGCAAATACAAATTAAACAATGATTTTGTTTAATTTCTCTACTATGTCCAAAGGTTCGGTGCCTATTTCTTTATTAATTATTCATTTCCTATTTCAATCCCCATCTAATCTTTCAAATTTTAATCTACACTGATGAATGAAGCTTAGTGTAAACTGAATGAACAACACCTTCTCTACTATTAGGTCATTTTGACCCTCTTAGTTTAGTTTTGAGGTCATCTAAATCTCTGCTGCCCCACATCCTATTTTACATCAAATCCCACTCTGACCTTTGAGTATAAGAGTTGAGACATCATGTTGACGTTATATAGGATGTTGGTGAGAACTCTTCTGGAGTATTGTGTACAGTTCTGGTTACCCTATTATAGGAAAGATATTATTAAACTGGAGTAGTTTCAGAAAACATTTATCGGGATGTTGCCAGGAGTGGAGGTTAGGTTTATAAAAACAGGCTGGAAAGACTGGGACTTTTTTTTTTCACTGGAGCATAGGGGGTTAAGGAGGTCGTCAATTTTCCATATAAGTGTCATACTTATAATTCAGTGGCTTTGTGGTTGTGTATTTGTATTTGTGTGAGAGTGTCTGTATGCTTTTATGTTCATTCATGAGATGTGGCCATCACTGGGGGGGGGGCAGCTTTTATTGTCCACCCCTAGTTGCCCCTTGGGAAGGTAAGTGCCCTTCTTGGACCACTGCAGTTGTGGGTATCCCACAATGCCCTTAGGGAGGGAATTCCAGGAGTTTGACCCAGCAACAGTGAAAGAATGGCAATATATTTCCAAGTTAGGGTGCTGAGTGGCTTGGAGGGGAACTTGCAGGTGGTGGTGTTCCCATTGTATCTGCTGCCCTTGTCCTTCTCGATGGAAGTGGCAATGGGTTTGGAAAATGTTGTGCAAATATATTTGGTGAATTTCTGCAGTGCACCTTGTAGATAGTACACACTGCTGCTACTGAGTGTCGGTGGTGGAGGGAGTGGATGCTTGTGGATGTGGTGCCAATCAAGCGGGATGCTTTATCCTGGATGGTGTGGCTGTGCTCTGAGATGTAGAGGGATCTCAGTGTCCTTGTACACAAATCACAAAATGTTAACATTTAGGTATAGGAACTAATAAGGAAAACTAATAGAATTTAGTCTATTCTCATGAGGGAAATCACATAATAAGTTGGAAGATCGTGATTTGATTGTACAGGACATTGGGGGAACCACATCTGGGGGCCGTTGTAAAGTGTTGGTCTCCTTATTTAAGGAAGGATGAAGGAAGCATTTCAGAGAAGGTTTACTATTTAACATCTGAAATGAGAGTATCATATTATCATGAGAGATTGGAACAGGCCAGGCCAGTATCCGTTGGAGATTAGAAGCATATTTGGTGACTGAATTGAAACATGCAAGATTTAACATATAGGATCCTGAAGGATGTCGACAGTGCAGATGGGGAGAAGATGTTTCCTCCTCTTGGAGAATCTATAAGTAGGGGTCACTGCTTTAAAATAAGGTGGCACTCATTAAGACTTTTCATTGAATCCCTGCAGCGTGGAAACAGGCTATTCGGCCCAACAAGTCCACACCACCTTTCCGAAGAGCATACCACCCAGACCCATCTCCTACCCTTTCCCTGTTTCCCATGTCTAATCCACCTAGCTTACACACCCCTGGTAACGGCCAATCCAGCAAACCTGCACATCTTTGGACTGTGGGAGGAAATCCACGCAGACACAGGGAGAATGTGCAAACTCCACACAGACAGACATGCGAGGGTGGAATCAATACCAGGTCCCTGGCGCTGTGAGGCAGCAGTGTTAACCACTGAACCATGATGATGCCCCAAATAGATTCCTTTTTTCCTATGAACGTCATGAGTCTTTGGAACTGTCTTCTTCAAAAGGTGATGGAAGCAGCGTCTTTAAATATTTTTAAGACAGAAGTGAATAGACTCTTGGTAATCAAGGGGGTGAAAGGTTATTGTGGGTGTGCAGGAATGCTGGGTAATCAGATTGGTGGGAATCTTATTGAATAGTAAGCTGATTTGTTGTCTCCTAACTTATATGTTTCTGTCCATCCAAAGGTGTGGAGTGCAGAATTGGGCAGAACACTAACTATAGAACTAAAGAACAAAGAACAAGGAACAGTACAGCACAGGAACAGGCCCTTTGGTTCATCAAGACTGTGCTGACTCATTATGCCTTTCTAAACTAAAAATCTTTTGCCTCTAAGTAGTCCATATCCCCCTATTCCCTGCCTATTCATATAGAACATAGAACATAGAACAGTACAGTACAGTACAGGCCCTTCTGCCCACGATGTTGCGCCGAACTTTTACCCTAAACCTAAGGTCTGTCTAACCTTCACCCCTACCTTATACTATCATCCATATGCCTATCTAATAGCCGCTTAAATGCCCCGAATGAGGCTGACTCTACTACCCTCTCCGGCAATGCATTCCATGTCCCAACTACTCTCTGAGTAAAGAACCTACCTCTGATTTCTCACCTATATCTACCTCCACTCACTTTAAAACTATGCCCCCTCGTTATAGCTACCTCCACCCTAGGAAAAAGTCTCTGGCTGTCCACTCCATCTATACCTCTGATCATTTTGTACACCTCTATCATCATATATCTGTCATCATGCCTCCAAAGGGCGAGTTGATGTTTTAGTAAGATTTAATAGAACTCTATTCTACTCCCCACAGCACCATTCAAGCCTAGGATCCCATCAGCTTTCAAAATCATAACCTTAAAACGTAGGAGCAGAATAGGCCATTCAGCCTATTGAGTCAGCTTCACCATTCAAAATGATCGTGGCTGATTTGAAAACCCTCAACTCTACTTGCATGCCTTTTTCCTTGATTCCCTTACTGATTGAAAATCTGTCCATCTCAGCCTTGAATATACTCAGTGAGCCAGCCTCAATAGCCCTCTGTGGTAAAAAATGGCAGTGTCTTCAGTTATCTGGGCCCCAAACCCCCAAACTCTTTCCACCTCTCTACCTCACCTTCCTCCTTTAAGGCACTCTCTGCTTTTTTGACCAACTCTTCATGTAGCTCCATGTTATATTTTGTCTTACAGTGTTCCTGTCAAATGCATTAGGATGATGTACTACCACTAAGGCTGTCGCTGTTTCATACAACGGAATTGAATGAGAACCCAGAGAAAGAACAGAGATCTGGCACAGACACATTGGCTCAAATGGTCTCCCACTCTCCTGAAACCATTTTACAATTTGATGTAAGTTTAAGAAATTGAATTCAATTTAAAAATGTTGATTTAAGCTGGCATCAGCATGGAGTTACTGAATTCTCAGCTATTCCTTTAAACCTTTGTCCAACAGTTCAATCTTGACCATCATCTTCTTCTGTTCAGGGTTAGGAATCAAAGACTTACAAACAAGATGGGTGTGAATTGGGCCTTTTTATGATTTACTGAGACAACCTAACAAAGAACATATTGTTCAAGGTGGGAAAGAGAATTCCTCAAGAGAATTTTCTCAGCGTCTTTATTAAAACTTACATCCATGCACTAACTTTTCTTCACTTTTTTTTCCAAGAAATTCCATTAATAATAATTCTTTACCTAAATTATTTGTCTAAAAGAAATTGCAAGAGGCGGTGAGGACCATGTTTTTCATTCCAATGTTGCTTTGTTAGTGGTGAGAGTTGTAGGATCAACCTTGCTAATTGATGTTTTCCTATCTTAAGCGTTATACTCAGGTTCCTCGGTTAAGCTGGACAGCTGGTTTGTGATGTTATTTATAATGAAGGTCCCACTTTCTCAACCTCTCCTCTCACCCGAGGCACAGTGACCCTTAGGTTGAATTCACCACCAGTTGCCTTTCTAATGAGAGAGTGAGACTATGGTGATGTTACCACACTGTTATATTAACGCGTCGTTAACAGGTTACCCAAAAGAATTTGGGTTTAGAGAAAGGCACATCCACAAAGTGATGAGAATTGCCAAGCCTCAAAACTTGCCTATTGACACACCAATGTGCATCTCTCAAGGCTGACTGAATAATCTACTGCCTGGCTGTTGAAGAAAGACAGCTGTACCAAGCAAAATTCTCCCTCCATCTGACCAGGAAGGTAAAAAGACGATGCAGAGGTAGAAGGAGGTCACCACTTTGATAAGCATGAGCCATTCAAAGGACAAGATGTACACGTATAGCAAAGGTGCCCAACCTTCAATCTGTGGACCACATAACAGCTTGACTTCTGATTTACCTGTAGAGAAACTCACAGGTTGGGTTTTCATAATTAATAATTACATAACCTTGCACAGTAAGGATTATGGGCCAGGAAACACATGATGTCGAGGGAAAATTTCTTGGTTTTTGATTTTTTTTTCTGTTTACATTTTATTTGAATCAAAAGGGCTGGTTAGTTTAGGTGCTAGTCTGATTGGGTCAGGGGATGTAGTTGGATGATGGCCGGGTAATTGGGTTGTGTAGGGTGGGGTGGTTAGGTGAGTCATATCAGGTTGAGTTGGTGGGCTGTGTTGTCAGGACGGATTGGGACTAGTCAGAGAGGTCAGGGAATGAGTTGGGGAGTTAGGGAGGTTAGTCAGAGGATTTGAGTGGTCAGTGTGAATAATTGAGGGGGTCAGCTCTGGACTTACCCAGGAGTGACTCTTGGGATTTTCCTCACTAATATTTTCTGGGTAACTATTTCAGGTAAGTGCATGGAAACTGTCCAAACTCCGTGACTCTACATCGGAGTCGGAAACTTTTCCAGGGAATTGGGGAACTGCCCATTGAAAGTTCAGACTCCCAGGACAAATCCCTGTTCGAGCACTTTGGGTCATACATCTGATGTTTCTGATGATCCAGAAGATCTGGGCCAGTATTTTATTCTAAAAAGTTAATGATTAGATCAGTCATATTAATTTTTGGAGGCATGATTTTAAAGAAAGACAGGGATATTATATTGGGAGATAGTAAGAACTGCTGATACTGGAGTCAGAGATAATACAGAGTGGAGCTGGACGAACACAGCAGACCAGGCAGCACCAGAGGAGCAGGAAAGCTGACATTTTGGGTCGGGACCCTTCTTCAGAAATCTGTGTTGTGTTCCTCCAGCTCCACTCTGTGTTATCGGGATATTATATTGTTGCATTCTCCACACAGAGTTCAGCACTAATTTCTTGTTGCAAAAGTATAATTTATTCTTTAAAAAGTCATTACACACACACACAGATGCTGAAGCAGTTCCATACAGTCTTTGCGTTTGAAGAACAAATGAACTTTGGGATTTGCTATTCCCTACAGTTGCAAGAAAAAAACCCAAGGTATTTTTTTACTTTTGCAGGACAATATTCACATACATTTGAGGCAAAGAGGGTTTCTGACAACTGAATGGATCTTCATTGTAGTTTTACAGAAAGACCTCAGATGGTAACTTTTTTCCTCTTGTGCCTTGGTAGCAGCTGACCCCAAATTTTAATGCATCCCTCAGCATATACTCCTAGACCTTGGAATGTGCCATTCTGCAACATGCACTTCAGGTCAGCTCTTTACACTGGAAGACCAACAAGTTCAGCACAAATTATTATGGGAGGCCCTGCACCTTTGGTGTGCCACATATACTGTACACTGCAGTCATGGTCCAAGTCATGGTCTATCGATCAACCAGCCCACCGGCTCTGTGTCGGAAGTACACTCAATGAAGATTCACATTTTCAGTATTAGGAGTGTCAGATTTCTGGGAACCAAAAAGAAAGAACAGCAGGAAAGGAAGACGAATGGACTTGTAAAGGATTATTCTTGCCTTCAGCAGTTTTGAACACAGTAAAACAGCCCTGTCACATTTGACACCCTCACCGTGTGCTCCGATGAAATATAACCTGGCCTGACTAAACAATTCCCAATAACTGTATCAGTGGGGGGCATCAGGAAGCAGTTCCCAGCTGGATTTCACACGTCGGATTTTATCTGGACCAGTGGGGTTGGCAGGAGCAAAATGTTGAACACCAAACAAAAATGCTCATTGAGTGATGTCAGTGTATCATCTGTAAGTGCTTAAACCACAACATATTTGTAAGATTTGCGTCATTATCTAACTGCACTACCTCGGGTCAATCTTTTAGTTGATCTGCTAAAGAGCTCAAATTCTTCAATCTTTAAAGAAGGTGGGGGAGGGGTGTGGATGAGAAGAGCTTTCTAGAGAAAGCTAAGATGCAAAATGGAGCAGAAATAGTTATTATTAGGTACTATATCTAGTTAAAACTGAACTTAGGTTGGCTGTCATACTGGCACAGAGAGAATGATGGATAACAGGAATGCTCCCTCATTACAGGTGTAAAGTTAAACATCTTTGAGGTATTCAGGAACCAGTCAGCAAGGGGGGGTTGGTCTAGGCTTCTGTTTACAGATGAAGTAGGTGGGGTTTAATGGTCTCCATCATTCAAGTTTACTGTCATAATCTTTCTAATCCCTGGAACTCTGCTGCAAGGAACAAATGAGTAGAAATGTCTACCTCACCCCTTACTCTGTCCCCCTACCAGGAGGCTGAAAGGATGAGAGATAGTAGGAACTGCAGATGCTGGAGAATCCGAGACAACAAGGTGCAGGGCTGGATGAACACAGCAGGCCAAGCAGCATCATAGGAGCAGAGAGGCTGACGTTTCGGGCCTAGACCCTTCATCTGATGAAGGGT